GTTTCTTTGAACTGTTAACTAAAATCATTCCACTTTTCAGGTTGTCCAGAAAAATATTGGAAGTTCCTTACGAAACGACTGTCTGGCCATGAATTTGTTCAGTTTCTGTTCTTCCATCATATCTTCATGAGACTGTGGAGTTGAATTTTCTCCATGTTATCATATATTGATTTCCCCCAATATTCAATGATTGACGATTCACTTTCTAATTCAGCTTGTTTGAACATAGCTTTTCTCTCTATTAGACGTTTTTCAATTTCAGCTAGAAGTCTTTTTTGAGTTCGATTTCCAACTGTCTGCGTCGAGTAAATTTACTACTTGAAGCTTTGCTACTTTCAGAAACTTCAATGGATATTTCTGAAAATATTTTCTTATTTTTGCTTTCAAATTCTGCCGGGATTGTGAGTTTTTTGAAAATTAATGGTTTTTTGAGATGGGTCATAGATTTGACTGCCATTGTCAAAAATTGCTGGTACTTTTTCTTTCATTTTTTCACTTCTCAAAGATACTTAACGTGAAACAGACTTGGTTTTATACTTTTCAAGTGGGTCAAAAATTTGATTTTTGTTTGAATCACACGTTAAAAGGTAAGACCTCGTTAGTCCTTAGCTCGCACAAGTTTCTCAACTTCTGAGAGTTGTCGTTCGTATGGGGACGACAGCTGATTAATGGAAAAACAGATTTTGAAAACAGACAGATATGTATATATGTATACTTAGGATAGAATTCTTGAAGAACATGCGAACCTATAGAGAGGAATGTTGACCTATTGTTCATATGGAAGAAACATATTTCCGCTTCACACACTCATCAAAAAGGCTGGAATGATCATGCCATGAAAGGTCTGAAAGGTAGAAAAAGGCAAAGTCTGATTATAATACGGGTTGGTGGTGAAAACGGGTTCTTCTTCCACGTTACCACTCTTCTTAACATTTTAATTATAATTGATATTTCTCCTTATTCTTAATTATAAATTAATTGATTATATACACACATTCTCAAAATAATAGGACGAATATGCTGGATTGTCTAAACTACATGGAAAATGAGGAGAGAGAAACGATTGTTTGTGAGAATTTGAAAAATCATTTGAAGCGTTTCAGGGTTTAGCATTTTTTTATATATTTCATCTCAATATTAGGAGTATGCAACAAATATTGATGAATGTTCTCTATGCATTCAGTCAAACAATGCAACTAATGGTAATATTATACCTGAATTATGGCTAATTGATGATACCCAGAGTTTTTCCATTCCAAATTTTGGTATATTATATAATGAATCTCCATTCAACCAGAACGATGGTTTGATAGTTTACATTAGGAAATATACCAACTCCAATTCTGTTATAATACACCTTAATGAAATCAATATATTAGAAATATCATTTTCGATAGAAGTTTCCGAATTGAACATATGAAAACTTAAGTCAGTAAGGTATAAATATATAATTGTAAAATATAACAAAAGAGTATCACAGGTTTGTCTACATAAATATTAAAATAAATTGAGTATTGTTTTCATTATATCGAATATGCCATGTCTGTATTTGTTAAGATTGTGGAAATTTTGATACCTAAATACTAGTATCTATCCTTCTTCTACTTTCTGCAATCGTCATGAAATTGATATAGAAATTCTTGCATCGAATATGGTTCCATGTTACACAACAAATCGAAAACTAGATTCTTTAACGTATGCCGTCTGCCTTCTTCTCTGATTGTCAGTGGTAAATGATTGTATACTCGTAATTTGATGGCCATATAGCGAAGACCTCTTTCTGTATTTCTCAATCTATGTTTAGAAAGAATGAAGTACTCATGAATGAAGTACTCATAAATGTTTTTATGAATGATGAAATTTTCTTTATTGTCATAAACGAAAATAATACAAACATGAATATGAATCCCATATAAAGTAAGTAATCTATTACTTTTGACAATATTACGACAGGAATCTTTTAAGTTCATAGTAAGCATTGTCTTTATCATAAGTTTTTGCATAATGAGAATGCGATCCAAGTGAGTACTTCCACCCCAGAACATAACTTCATATCGAAGAAAAGAATAGATAGTTCAAAAGTATGCACTTTTTAGTGAAGTTGTATTGACGTTACTTCTTAATCCTCTAATTGCATAACAGTGTGTACGTTGAAGTTTAAATTGTCATCTAGATAGACCCCCAACATTTTTGTACATGATGAGAAATATAACTTTTCAGTGCCCATGTTCACAAACTCTGAAACAATGATGGGGGTATTGACTGTTCTGAAAACTATGCAATTAGTTTTGGCTGTATTCAAAAGAAGTTCATGTTGCTAAGGTACGATTTCATGAGATATAAAGCTTTACTCCTGATTCCATGATGACTTAGTTTTTGTATTGACACAGAATGGTTCACATAGTCAAAAGCTTTACTCTGGTCCAGAAACACACCACAAGCACAGGAGTCTTTTTCTAGTACAGAATGAATTTCGTCTATGAAATTAAACAGTGCTATCTGTTACTTTATTAAAAATCAAATCAAATCAAAAAATATTGAGTGTTGGCATCTAGTTGATGTGATTTTTAGCTGATTTCATGATTCTTCTTTGCTTATAAGAGGCGAAGAATTTAAAAAGTGAGTGTTGAAGCTGTTTGCTATATCAACATAATTCATGGTACTACAAGGCAAAATAATTTCATTTTTTGAATGTTTTTTATTGAGAAAATGTATCATATCTCAGGTAGTTTTTGATTTATTATCGCATTTTGTACTAGATTAATGAAGTGTTCACTTTTTGTTTTATTCACAAGTCGTCTATATATGCTTCCGATAGGTGATAGATCATATTTATTAACTGCATCATATCGTCCACCATCGTCTCATCTGGATTCAACTGTCCTTCAAGGACAGCAATGCATTTATGGTTCAGCCTGTCATCACTTATAAGACCTATAATAGGTTGAAACAGCTCAGCCGGGTGTTTAACTCGAAATTCCGAAATTAAAGTCGAAATTATGAGTTTAAAGTCGGAATATCGAGAATTGAGAAAGAAATTTCTAGTTTAGTAATGATGAAGGTCATTCTCTGATGACCTTCATCATAGGATAATCAGCTCCACCCTGGAGTTTTGAGTAATAATTTATCGATGAATCAGAGCGAAATTTGAAAAAATCAACTATATTGCTGTAAGTTGAGTACAAATAATTCGTTTTTGTTCTTCGAATTTACATGAGATGGCAGTGACTACAGGCAGAAGTGGAAAAAGTATAAAACTGTAGTTTTTTTTACACGCTGTCATTAGCTTCACATGGCTGTACGTAACATCCTTGATATAATTCGAACTCACTTTACATGTATTTCTTCATTTGAAAAAAGTATTTTTTTTATTAACACATGCGCGTGCTGCCGTATTTGTAACCCTACTTTGCGCGCCTGCTTCCTTCCTTGGGCTTGGTAGCTGATTTTCAGGCTCCCTCTCCAAAATCAGAAAATATCTATGTTCATTTTCATCAACAATATACGGCTGATTGATCTCAATGTTTGGATAAAATAAATATAGTTTAAATAAGAAACACGTTTTAGCATATGAAACTAAAAAATGGAAAAAATGAAAAATAGTTTTAAAGAACTGAAAAACACGCCTTTAAAGAACATCGAACTAAAAAGTTGATTTTTTAATAAGCTCAAAACAATAACGAACGAAAAATACTAGTATATTGTGAAAAAGCGTGGGCGCTTTGTGCCATATTTTTTGTATGTCATGTGTTATGTTTCAATTTAGCACTAGATCAAACTGCTCTTATGTGACCTTTCAAAACACTACGTTACCTTTTAAGATCTTTATTCAAAGGATATTAACAATGTAATTCAGTTACAAGTTGATTTTATTCATTTAACATCATAGTAATGGGAATCTTCCGTTCCATAGAAAACTATACCTGAAATGTACAAGAATATATGTATGCTCCCTGACTAACTGCTTGACCAATACTTACACATTCTCCTATTGCCAATCGACGTTGGAGATCCGAAAATTCCTCGCTATAGATATCTGTGAAACGGAAATTGAGGTATATTCTTCCTTTCACGATTGCTGATTGACACCGATGCGCCTACGCCTGAGCTCACGCGACGCAAACGAGTTTGTCTTACCTTCCGATACTAGTATTTACGATTTCACCAACTCAATTTTCGTGGTAGTTTTACTCGACGTATTGTAGTTTTTTTTTGAGCGTCGTTACTACCGTAATTTATGGCTGATTGAATTCGTGGTTAAATACACCGCGCTCTTGTAATTACATTTGAACATCGCGTAGTAGTGTGAATATTGCATTGTTGTCTTAGAAGCGTTGTTGGTTAATCCATGTAAGTTAGGATTACTGAATAAATCATATTGGGGACCTTTATCTTTTATTTCCAATATTAATTGGTAAGTTATTGATATTGTGAGTTACTTAGGGTATCTGGAGGATTAAATTTACCTGGCGCCCATTAAGATCTATTTGAAATTTGCTAAGTTGTTTAACCCACTCCCGTCTCCACTGTTTAGCTTAGCCGCGGATACCCATCTGTCTTATTTGTTACCGACAGATGATTTAGTCTCCTCTTGTGGTTTGTGAGGTGACACAAGCGTCCGTCGCTTTTTCCACAATAAGCTAATTTAAAAAAAAATAACTTTTCAGTTCGATTTTCTCTAGAAGCATGTTTTTTAGTTTTTTTAACTATATTTTATGAAGAAACATTTGCTGTATCCAATCTACATTTTATTGAAACTGATGAAGAATTTGTGAGAAACCTATATAACACAAAATTCAGTATTCTTATCATCAATATACTGTCATTCAAAACTTACTTTCGGAATTTCTGAGTGCACTAACGCTTTTTCCAAATTGACTTAAAAAAATATCTGTTTTGCGAAAATTTTCAATATTTCCAAGCGACCAAAACAAATTCAATTGCATTGAATCAATTTCTTATACCCCAGAACCATTTTGCGAACATAAAAATATACATACCGATTTGAAAACAGGAATCGACATCGGAAATAACTTCCCAACCATAATATTTATGGGTAACTTTGTCTGGATCATGAAATTGACAAGAATTTTTTTATATTGCAAATCGCATTCAAGCCAAGGCGTATTATAAATGGCATCAGGTATTTTTTCACTCTGAAAAGCAAAGCAAACATTGAGTTTAAAGTGGCCATTCACGTTAGATTAAAATCGCTGTAGGTTATATTAATTCAGAGCAATAAGTTTGAGAAGTTCATATCACACACAAGATTTTTTTGAAAGTGGGTTTTGATATGTTGATGGAATCAAATTTTTCATCGACGTTGAAAATATAGAATTTGCTTGAAGGTTTGGATCTCCAATCAGCCGGGTGGTTACTTTCAAGACAAATTAATTTGTTCAGGTGTGAAGATCATAATATGCGAACAAGAATCCAAAGAAGTTATCACCCGAAGATGAGTGTGGATCATCATCATCATGATCATTGATCATCAACAATAGAAACGTCGTGACGTAACTTGGTTTGGAATCTTTCAATTTTAATTTTTCATTTTTTGTTGATAATATTTTTTAATTTTCAGTTTTTCATCAATTGAGTTCAAATAGGTGTTGTTCGAAATAAGTGCTGGAGAAATGCTAGAATTCCATGAATCCATCGAAATTGGCTGAAGAAACAATGAGACACGTGTTTCATTCCGAAACATAGATGTCCGCCATTGAGAATAAAAGTGTTCCATGTGAGTGAAATTTTATCTCTATCATATATACTATATTTTGTACCGTTCCTGTGAATTATATCTCATTCAATTCCATAACGAATGATTGGAGTATGAAGTGTAATTCAATGGTAATTTGAAAGTTATCTTATCGAAAGAGCTTTTCGAGAAGGTTTGTATCTGAAAATAACATCTTTGGAAGACGTTGAAAGACAAAAGTTTTTTTTCCCAAAAACTTGTCTTTTCTAAAACTATACCCATTTCAATTCAAACAACTATTGCGAGCTAAGACCTCGTTAATACTTCAGCTCGCACAAGTTTCGACTTTTGAGAGTTGTTGTTCGTAGGTGGACGACAGCTGGTTGACAGAGGAACATATTTCAACACCTTTTTAGTTTCACTGTTGCAAGCGTTCTAGACTTACTGATGTTACTCGAACAAATATTATCTGATATTGAATTAATTCTGGATTATTTCGAGAAATACGATTATTCATTGGTGAAAATTTGTTCAAAGTTATTATAAGGAGCATATGAACAACAACTGGTAGAAAAAAAGAATTACCTTGTGAATAATATCGTTACCAAACCAGCAATAAATGAATTGTTCCATAAGAAAAGTTACCAAGGAAAAGACTACCAAGAAAAATTCTATGGTCCCAGTTGTAACCTGAAAGAGTGAAAAACATAAATTAAAAAAAAAGTTCTGTGGTATCCGAATATACAAAATATATCCTTAAGTGATATTCTCATATATTTATGGAAGACAAGGCAAGTTAAATCGTTTTCGAAATATTGTAAAGTTTATAAACATATTGTTGCGCATCTGGCAGTGTTTGGCGCAGACAGTGATCAAGTCGTTCATGATTTCAGTGTCTTTGTCAACCAAAGCGGGGGCATATGAATAAGCGATGAGTCACCATGAAGAAAATCATCGAGCGACGAAAGAAGCTCCGTGAAATTAGCGAGGATCGCACATAAATATCGAATACCCTAGACACTTCGTTCTGATTCGAAAATGTAGATCTAGAAACCACAAGAATATTAGCAAGCGATAGTAATAATACTGATAACTTCGTCAACAAGTTAGATTACTTTGAGATAAACTAAATGCAAGGAATTTTCTCCAACATCATCGAATACCTCGGTTTCCAAAGCACCCAAAATTTGTTTTTTTCAGGTGAGTGGGCTTCTATGAGTATCTTCAGAATAGCATGTATTCGACTTCGACATATTCAGCTTATGCTGTTTCAGCCCATATCTTTCTATATACCGCGTCCCTTTACGAGTGCTTTATTACTACCTCAATACTCCCATGATACTCCCATGATCCCTGGGTTTGCCAAATAATTTCATGTTGTAGGTAATTAGTCCAGTCATTTGTTCAAAAAAAGGAGGTTACCTGGAAAGTTTTCCGTGAGTTTTCAAAATTGGTTATTTCATGGACTTCGGTATGTTCTTTTCGAATTTCAACTTTGCCACCTGGTATCTGGACACTCGCACCGCCATTTCGAAAAAATGACGCCCAATAGCAGATTTTTTACAAAATCTCCTTTCTGTCGCATATTACGAGAAAAACATTTATATCCATTATTGAACTAGACAAAAGTCAAATGAATGTGCAATTTTCTGAGAATCAGTGAAATGTTTTTCTCGAAATCAATAATTTGAGGATTTTCATCCCCCGTCAATTTTCTATATCCCGGCTATACTTTCTACTTCCGATTCAGACGTGACTTTAGAATATCTCTTTTTATCATAAGTGATCTCTCCTGTAACTGAGAGGAAGTGCTGGAACTCTCAAACTTTAATGTTATGCGTTCAAAATAATATCACAGAAGATCACCAAATTCATATGTTACGTTTATCGACCACCTACTGATACACAATAAGGGAACTATTCTCTTTACTTGCAAACACCACTGACTTTCTGCAAATCAATCAGCCCAATGCCGAAATTTCCATGTTCGGTGACTTCAATATCCACATTATAGAATGGCTCAATTTTTGAAATATCAACGACGAACAAGGTCGCTAAGCTGATTCTTTTGCAATAAGCAGCAGACTAACTGAGATTATAAATGAGCCAACCAGGATTCCTGACCGTGATAGAGAATCTAGTCTTCTGAATCTATCCCTAACAAACAATACAGAAATTTTTACACAGTTACCGTTAGGTCTCCATAGGGATCTTTTGACCACAAACTCATTTCAGTGTTGAGTGAATTACCGATAAATGTTGAGGAACAATCTGATCCGCGCAAAGTTTGGCATTACAGATCAGCTGAATGGGTGGATCTTCAAGAGCATTTCCGAAATTTCTCCTGGCTAGATGTTTGTTTTGAGCTCTAAGGATCCATCAACTTGTTCTTCTGAAGTCACGGAAGTTATTCTATCATTCATGGATGCATACATTTCTTTTTCAATGAAACGACTTTTTGATGACAAACCTTGGTTCACCAAAAATTGCGAACAAGCTGTCGCCTCCAAATATCTCGCCTACTGGCAGTGGTGCATAAATCCCAGTGCCGAAAACCGAACTGTGTTTGTTAATGCTCGTCACAGCTGCAAACTTAGGATAAATGAAAGCAAAGAACTTCACAATCAGACAATTAGGGATAAACTGCTTCTAGTCGGTAGCTAAGGCTGTTAATCAGAACTTTACGAAATCCACAATTCCGCCACTAACACGGATGGTGAAATTGTAAAAACAGCCATAGAAAAAGCAAATCTACTAGCTGAACAATTTGCGTCCCAGTCCACAGTCGATTTTCTGGTAAAGGCATCACACAATATTCCCACACTAGAATCCACAATGCTGAAAATTACTTTTCGACAGTGTCTAGTCACGCGAATCTTGAAACAGCTCAATATCAACAAGGCGTCTGGTCGTGTTGAAGTTCCAGAAATCGTACTTGAAAATTGCGCAAATGAACTCGCAACAGTATTCTGCAAACTCTTCAACTTGTCTTATAAGAAACGGAGTTTTCCTTCTTGTTGGAAGATTGCTCGCGTTCAGCCCTTCCCAAAAAGGGCAAGAAAGTTCTTTCGATTAACTATGAATCAGTCGCTTCGCTATCGGTGATATAAAAAATCATGGAGAAAGCCATAAACCACCAAATCCACGAATAATTGGAAGGCTTTAACATCTTGGGCGATCATCAATATGGCTTTTGGAAACGAAGATCAATAGATGACCGTCTATCGCATGTAAAGCATGTTTGGAATAACGCAATCGAGAAACATGGAGAGTCAAGAGCTGTTGCGCTTGATATTTCGAAGGCCTTTGATCGTATGTGGCATGATGGTTTGCTAGCCAAACTTCGAAGCTGTGGCTTGTCGGATAATTTTCGTGTATGGCACTTCAGCTTCCTGAAAAAACGTTCCCTGCAAGTGACCTTTGATGAATATATCTCGAATACTTTCACCATCAACGTTGGTATTCCCCAAAGATCCATATTGCCTCCAATATTTTGCTTCGCTGATGACAGCACACTTGTCTCGTCATCACATTTGGATTCCAGGACATCGGCTGCGCTGCACATCTTCACCGGCAGCAGAAGGTCGCATATCTTAATGAGGATCTGTAGGTGATTTCGAATTAGGGTGAAAGTAAACAGGTTGAATTCAATGCCACAAAAACCCAGGCATCGGTTTTCTCCAAAAAAATTGATGTCTGCGAACCGAATAGAGAATTGCAAAGGCTGCTTCTCAAAAGCTGGGAACACTTTCCGAACTAGAAAACTGTACACACATCAGCAACTCGTGTTGCTTTATGAAGCTCAGATCAGACCTTCTTTGGAGTATTGTTCTCATGTATGGAGCTATGCCCCCAAACATACACTGAAGTTGCTGGATTCCATCCAGAAAAGAACTATCCGCCTGATTGGAGACGCGAACATCACGTGCAGCCTTGATAGCCTGGAACATCGAGATTTGTATCTCTTCTACAGATACTTTCACGGGCAGTGTTCAAGTGACTTGGCACATTTGATTCCACCGAAAGCGGTACATATCAGAAATACGCGACGGACTGTGACTACTCATCGTTTTGAGATTCGACTCAGTACACCTCGACTTTCACTGTATTAGAACTTTTCCAATTGGAGAATGGCGTTTATGTGGAATACACTTCATGAGAACGTTTTTCCAAGTGGATTTAATCTCCAGCGGTGCACAGGCACCGCTTTAGGAGCGCCTTAAGGATTTTCCTGTAGTGCTTGTATTGTGTCCTTAAAAAAAATCCCATTCTTTGTAGTTATAATATTCGAAAAGTGTATTTTGAAAGTGCATTTACAAAACGTTTGCTGCCATTTGATTTGAGAAAGAATATTCAACATATAGTTTGTACAAATTATAAAATATATTTCTGTGATGAAAATATAATTTATCAAAGACACAATTATATAAATGAGTGAATATCTGAATGCTCAACATCATTGATTCTCATAACCGACACATAAAAACTCACCGAAGTTATCTGAAATAGTGCTGAACAAATGAAAATTTCTGCTCCGGCGAAAAGGAAGAAAATACTTGTTCTGTGAAGTTTTTCGATTTCCTTCGATAATCTGAAATGAAATCAATGAATGGGAAATAATAAAAATGAACGAGGAAGGTTACTTTTGGAAACATTTAAAAAAAAATCATATGATATGCCCTAAATGTTTCAACTTGTGAAATGCAGGGTGCTAAAATTTGAAAACAAAATCTTCCGTTATGATAACTTTGGTATGATACTTGACATTTTTATGAAACATGTTCTACGCAACAGATGCAACATTATATACTTTAAAATTATTTTGTTTATTTTTGACATTAGCATCCGTGTGGATGCTACCTACCCTCTTTTAATAAATCTGGTCTACTCATTGTACCATTCGTCGTATCGTAATCTTAATAAAATGTATTTATTTGCATTTCGCGAAAATAACATTGGATTCTCTTAAAAAATTATTCATTCCATAGAATAATTTTTGAACGGTTGGAAAATAAAATTGTAGTAATGTAGATACATTTTGGAACGCTAACACGAAATTATTCGGAATGGACAAAAAATAATTCGAATCAGATATCCACTTCCTGCAAACAAGTCTGCCTCTTTTTTTCTCACATTTCTATTCTCGAAAAAATACCTAGACTGCTTCTGATAATTCCCAGTGTGAGTTACTGTGCTGTTTTAATTTGACTCGAAAGGAAATAATATGAACTATGGAAATACAGGGTGTTACTAAATAAGTGTAAAACATTCAAGAAGGTGATTCCTCATCGAAAAAAAGATAGGATCTTTTATATAAAAAAACTNTCTTAACGTGTGGCTCGGAGTTATTGGGGATGATTTAATTGGGCTTCATTTTCTACCTCCTCGATTAAATGGTGAGTCATACGTTCAATTTTTAAGAGAAGTGCATCCAGGACTGCTGGAGGAAGTTCCTTTGGGCGTTAAAAGGGATATGTTTTTTTGCATTTCATGCATGGCAAGAAACAAAATTGTGTTGAACATCAAAAATATCTTTGACGCACAAATCATGCGATCTGGGTTTCACAAAAATATCTGGGTCATAAAAAGTTATCATGAAAATTCTGTTTTTCCAAACCTTAGCAATTTGTTGTTCAAAATTTAAAATCTTCAGAATGTATATTCTCGAAGTGAATTCAATAATAGCATGTATCAAGAGAAACCTTATATAATGAAGTTCTGTCTGTCCTATAAGCATTCTGCATTACCTATGTTGACTGAAGCATTCTTTCAAATAATGTTAGAGATTATTTTGATATATGAACGAAGAATTAGAGAAAGGGTTCACACTATAGAAGAAAAAAATACTTTGGAGAGCTACTGGTTGATACTCAAGTAGCTGATAATCCATACTATTTCATCATTATCATCTCAGTCATTATCACACCGTGAATTGTACCCGAGACACAAAAGGGTACAAAGTCAATTTGATATTCAGAAATTGACAAAGGTCCCTAGTGTTTGGATAGCATAAAATCCCAAGTTACGGCTTTTCAGTGAGCAGAGTTCGAAATTTCCAAACCGTTTTAACAACATGGGACTCAGAGTTTTCCATTTTTTTATATATATTTCCAGTGTTGTTTTGGTGGATTCAAAAATATGAAAGAAAAAAAAAACTAGTTTTTTGTAAAACATGACTCCACAAGACGTTTATTTGAATGTGGTTGACATTTTCTGAAAGGGTGTTAACAAAATCTACGAGTATTATGAATACTGAAATAACTGGAACCAACATTTTGGGATCAGTTGATTTAAAAAATAATAATATGAAAAAATAGGGAAAAAGTTATCACCCGCATATAATTGCGAGTATTAAACATCTTTATTCTTTATTCGAAATATTTTTTTCATTTTCATCGTTCTATCTATAAATATATTCAATAATTCATCTGTATTTCCGGTTCTAATAATATATTTTCCTCACAATCGTGTTTGTATATTTTCAGACTACATTCCCATTGTTTATTTTATTCTCATTTCTGTATAATTTTTTCCTTTTTTTTCGATCGACTGAGTCATACGTATATTTCCGTTTCGGTAATGTTCTCACTCCTAATATAATATTATTTTGAATTTTTTCCCTGCCCTGAAAAGAATAATCAGAACAACATATATGAATTTGAATTCTTCCTCAGCTATATCATCAAATTTTCGTCAATTGTCTTCAGTGCCATCAGGACAACTTTCTCTTATTTGTAATTCACTATCATTTGCTTTTTTTACTGTTCATGGCATTTTTTGCAGAATGCTTTGTCTTTCAATATTGAAGTTATTCAAATTGAAATTTAGAATATATATACTAGTCATTCAATACTCTACTCGATAACTTCTCAATATGATGTTGGAAATCAGAACTAACTCTATATGCGATCGAAAATGATATTCTATACTTACTTTTTGATCTCTTTATAATGCTCAATGCATACTATCAAATTGGTGGTAATTGTATCCGAAAATCTTTTAGAATCTCTCTGTATCAAATGTCCACTCGATTCGTCTCTCTTCCGTAAAACTCCATTCTCGACAAAACATGTATTCAAACAATTCAATGTTACGATCAAGTAGTCGCATTGCAAACTAATCTGAATCAATAAACCAGCAGAAAATAGGTCTAAAGTCAAACATGTCATAGTGTTCCAGAAAATGATACTACATTGAAATGCAAAAATTATCTCATAATTTGGGGACACCTTCCAGTCACATGGAAACCATCCAACACTAACCATTGACTTTTCTTTTCGAAAAAATGGTAATATACAAAAAAATACGGACGATTGTACACCAAAATATAAAAAAGTATAGAATAGCTTCTTGTAAAATTTTTTGGATGATTGTGCCATGTTATAATGTTCCTTGCACTTAGGTTGGAAAATTGGTTGGTTGAGTTTTTCAATCCAGGATTCAATCACTTCACTATTGCTGTACATTATAATGGTTTTTATAAAATTTGCGCTATACGCAACGCCAGTGAAAAGTAAAAAGGTAAGTTCAACAATATCATTGAGTGAAGTAATCACATATATAGCTTGAGACATTAGATAGAGTAACCACAAGAATGAGCACGCTGTTGTATAAAAGTTGTATAAATGACTGTAAGACATTTGATGATGTGGTTTCCAAAAACCTAGCACTTTTAGGATGAATATATGAATAGTGAAAAACTCTTTATGATCAATGATTTCAGTCATAGCTCATTGACGGTGGTTCACCACTTCGAAGAGAGGAGAGATACATCTGCCATGGTTTTCGAATGCAGATATTTTTATAACAGCGTTTTTTATGAATAATTCAAGACCTTTCAGTTTACATACAGAAAAAATCCCACCCTAATTGAGGATTTTCATATAATATTCAAATGACTTCTGACCAAAGTCGATATATGCGCTGTGCCCTGAATACGTAAATAAACATAAAAAACGATCTTTGATAATGAGTCATATTTATTCAATTCAATTCTACATGTCAGGATCGTTTTCCTACATTGTCTCATTGGTTTTGACCAAAATAACTATTGAACTTTTTCCAATAAACTTAGAAGTTTGAGTAGTGAGTGACATCATCGAAGAAAATTGAATGAGTTTTTAAAGTAAATATACATATTTCAAGTCACACAATATATTTTAAGTTTATGTGAAGAGAAATGAATCATTTTCCGAAATGTTAGTCATTTTATGAAAGCTAAGAATATGAAAAAATCCAATTATTTATTTTTTTAAAAAGTGAATAAGCTGAAAATCAGTAATATTGTTTGAAATATAATAAAAAATGAAATTTGAAAGTTCCCCATCTTTCCAATGTAAGGATAGATTTTTATTCAAGATCAAAAGTTGAGAAAATGAGTTTTTCGCGATTTTCAGCAAAACGGTGAGTTTCATCATAAGAATACTCACAACGAAAATTATAGACCATAAAATTATTTACAAAAAATGTACTGATACTTTTTCCTACGAGCCACTGTTTCTGAGATATAACGATTTAAAAAGATGTAAAAGTTGTAATCGTCATATGTGCATGAGTATAAAATATACATAATTTATAGCTATAACCAGTCAACAAAAATGTCTTACAAATACTCACAAGTCTCAGTTCATTTCAATGTTGAAAGAAAAATTTACTGCTGAAAATGTATTGGTAAAACAGGCTAATGATGATGCTGATGTATTGATAATTGAAATAGCAATAAAGCAATTCAATTTGACGAATACAACTATTGTTTTTGGTGGAGATGTAGATTTACTCGTATTACTCACTGCTTGAACTCCAACTGAAAAAAATATTTTCTTAAAACCAGGAATAACTCAACATCTGTCGGAAATATATTCATCAAAAAGTTTATCGACTTTTGCAAAGTGTCAAAATCATGTACTATTTTTACACGCAAAATGTTTGAAAAACAAAATTTAGTTCAATGTGCTGAAGTTTTAAAAAATAGTAATTCAACTCGACAAGACTTCATCACTAATGGCATTCACTTTCTTCTTTCTATGTACGGTGCTTCTAAAAAACCTACCTGCTTAGATAAGTAAAGATATGCATGTTTCGTTAAAAATACCAATAGTAAAATACACGTACAATTACCTTGCCTTCCTCCAACCTCATTTCCTGCTCATCAACATCTTTTCCGGGTATATTACCAAGTTCAAGTGTGGCTTGGTTATCAGCTAGACCCTACAGACTGGGGTTGGAACTTGTTCAATAATTCATTAGAACCAGTCCAAACTTTACTTCCACCTAATATTGAATCACCAACAGTGGAGGATACGTTTGATTCCAACGAGGCGACATGCGATACATCGCTATTAAAGCAGTTTACATGTACTTATGACGAAGATGAAGAAGAACAAGACAAACAAGAAGAAGAATTTGAAAGATACGACTCGGACGATTGAATTTAATTTTTAACTTAAATTGCATATATCTTTTCAATCTCTGCTAATATCCATTATTTTGCATTAGTTTCAAATTAAACAAGATCACAACTGTTCTTAATGAATGTTAATTGAAACCAAATTTTCTTGAAATTGGAAATTTTCAATCATACACTGAATATCATTCAAATAGACGCTGTGAAGTTACGAAGTTGTTATTTATAGACTATAATTTCTATTTAGAGAATAAATATAAACTTTAATGAACAAGTTACAATCGTTAGAATTACTGAAATTATTATTTTTCTCTTCTGAGTTGGTGGTAACAATAATGTTTGCTTATTAGCATTCAAAAATTGCTTTCTTTGCATTGCTAAAAGTTGCAATGATTATTGTTTTTGTTCTGCATTATAAATTCCGATTATATGATTCCATCAATTGAACTCCTCGTTCAGCAGTACCATTTACGACACGTAAATTTTTAGAATCATAGAGTAATTTAATAGAACTGGCCGATACTTGATGAAAATCCATATTAAAGAACTAATTAATACAGTTTATTGTATGATTTTCACTATAAAGGGTATTACAATAACCGCGACACGTGTTGTATAGTTGTAAAACCCTTTATAGTGAAAATCATACAATGAACTGTATCAATTAGATTTCCATTGATATGAATGTAATTTTAGAAATTCAGTTGGAAGTTGAAATCGCTCAAATCGTACACATTTTTAGTCATAGAAAAATCAATCTTGACTTTTTTGATATTAATACGTCTTGAACTTGTAGTTTCGCTAGCTTTTTGATTCATTGATTCGATACTTTCAATTTTGATTTCTAAGCTTACATTATCACCGAAAAGTGATAATCAAGTAAGTTCTTCAGACAGATACTAGAGATGCTAAATTTTTCTGACGCTGCTTCTGAAATTTTCTTATTGATCGTTTTATATTCCAAAAAATTCAAAAACAAATATACATCTTGTGGCGGAGCTTGAATTGACAAAGGCGCACAAAACCATACGTAGGTATAACGTAGGTGGGTAGGTTTGAGACGGAAGCTGGGAAAGAACTCAGTTACTTCCCTAGGGTCTGGATCAGGTATGTTGATGACATATTCGCTGTAGTGGATACAAGGATAACCAGAATT